AAGAAGGGTTTGGAAATAGTTGAAGAGAAAGAGAACACTTCTAAGTCAAAGGAGTAATGTAATTAATTTAATTTAAGTCAATAACAATTATAAAATAAAATAAAATAATGTGCCAGCTGTTTTCCTTAAAAAAAAAGGGGCTTGGAGCCTTTTTTTCACTTAAAAAACGTCTTTAGCAATTTTTCAAAAAAATAGGTTCAAATGGGATTCGAACCCGCAACCTCAACCTTCTAAAGTTGCCCTCCTACCATGACACCACAAGCCAACTTTGTTCTGTGGGTGGCACACTTTATATTTATATAAATATTATGTATATATACCTATGTATATATAGAGTTTCCGTCGAAGTTTGGGGCTGGCGTGGCACCCCCACTGCCCTTCATAGGTCCGCCCCTGAATTCTCCTCAGGGTTCGTTTAGGGACGATGCTAGGAAGTTTGTTGATCCCGTTGTTGAGTTTTTAAGAAATACAAATGCACCTTTGCTTCTTAATGTCTATCCTTATTTTAGCTACTCGAGTAATCCAGGGCAGATTCTCTCCCCTATGCTATGTTTACTGCACCTAATGTGGTGGTACAAGACGGTTCGTATCAATATAGGAACTTATTTGATGCAATGGTGGATTCTGTTTATGCTGCCCTCGATCAAATACCAGGACGGCCAGATCAGAGCTCTATAAGGATTGTTGTGTCTGAGACCGGTTGGCCATCTGCTGGTGGATTTGGAGCCACAACAGATAATGCAGCAACATACTTGAGGAACTTAATTCAACATGCTAAAACGGGTACTCCAAGAAAGCCTGTGCCTATTGAGACATATTTATTCGCAATGTTTGATGAGAATAACAAAACTCCAGAGCTTGAGAAACATTTTGGATTGTTTTCCCCCAACAAGCAGCCCAAATATCAACTAAACTTTGGAACTTCTGACATTTCTGCTGAAACTAATGTCACTGCTTCTTCCCTCATAAGTGAGATGTAAGAAGAGACATTTGAAATCTCTTTACGTAAGTATTGCTTGGATGGAAAACTTAGAAAAAAGAGTTAGGCTTCAACTGATACTCCCATCTAGCGACATCTTTGGTGGACGATTCAACAAGAGAATTTTTTCTTTTTGAAATTAGATATTAAATTACATTGTGCGGTTTGTGTAAGTTCACATAGATTGTTAACCAGAGGCAATGCAATCTCCGAGTCGTGTTATAACTTCCTTTATTTCTTCCTGATGTTGATCATCTTACAACAGTTTTGTAAGTTTGTAAATTTCATATTCCAGATTTTTTGGATGGAGTAGTGAGTAACTAGGAGTTCTTAGGTAATGGCACAAAATTGTTGTCAAACATTTGATAAAAGAAAAAAGAAGGCTCAGATCACTCACCTCTAGTAATACAATATTCACAATCAACAGAGATTATAGAAAAAAAACTTTCATGTTATTGAAATTTTGGACCAAACATGTGACTGTCTTACCACTGCTTGAGGAGAACTGGTAGCTGAGTTTGTGGGAAATCCATCTCTTTTTTCATTACAAGCTGAAGAAAGTGAAGAAAGATTTGGTCATGTGTCACGACTCAAAAACTCGAATCATGATGGCACCTGCCATAACCCACCAATAGGTAAGCCGACCCATATCTCAAAACGGCAAGTAATAGATATATTGGGTAGAAATAATGACCAAAGGGGAATTTAAAGTAGTTCCAAGATACACAGCGAAAAACAGAGAACAATAATATATACAAAAGAAGCAAAAGTACAAGATCCAAACCCACGACCTGGTGGACATCAGTACAAAGCTACTATACGAGTACAAGTCCCAAAAGTACAGACTTATCTCAAAAATAAAAGATTAGCCACAACCTATATACAAAAGGATATAGGCTAAAATAGGACGCCATTAGCTCACCCTCAGTCTCTGAAGATCCCCGCAGCTAGCCCAAATCAACACTTACGGCTGGCACTCGGAACTGTATAAAAAATAGATAAAAAGTGTAGTATGAATATCAAGGCAATAGGTGCCTAGTATGCATCATAGGCCGACTGCGCTGGGAAAGTAAAAACAATAATGAAAAGCAAGAAAGTAAAGCAACTAGAGGTCATAACAAGGATATGATAATGGAAAGCCTAACTAGAAAGCACAGGAGTATAGAAAAGGATGAATATTAGTAAATAACTAACTATAACCTTGCTTGACCCCATAAGCCCAGAAGGTACACTCGTAGAATATATGATATATGAACATGCGACCACAACTTAGTAGAATAGATAACATACAATTACAGCACAAGTACAACATAGTCCAAACTCTTCGTCTTTACCCTAAGTCTCTATGCACAATAAACATAGACAATCACAGCACAATAAGCCATTTTGGTTATATTATGGAACCCATATGCAAACTATTAGTGTACCAGTGTGGTATTCGATCCATTAATTAGTATGTACTATTGTGGTATCCTATCCATTTAGAAATATCTATCGGCGTGGTATCTGACCCACTCATCAAACACATACCACAGTCACAATGAATAACAATCATACTTGTACGCTAATCAAACACACTCATTACATGCGATGAAAAACATTTGACATTTCAAATCATGGATTTTCCTATTTGCCTAATTATATATATAGCCTGCAATAATAACAAAGCAGTTGACAAGAACATATAACATAAACGGTACACAAACAACCATCACCTACCTCAAATCAAGCCTTGAAAACTCTTAAGAACTTGAGCTTTCCCCTTATTACAAATTCTGGATTGTTCTTGGTCTAAGACAATAACAAAATAACATAATCAATGAATAATGACCTAATTAAACTTGGATTATTACTTAATACTAACCCTAGACCAAAAACTGGGGATTTTTCCACCATTAGTTTGAGTCAAAACCCTCCCTTAAGCGTATCACCCTAGATTCTAAGGCTTAAGAATCAAAATACAAGTTAAGGGAGTAGTTAAGTTACCTTTACTGAAGAAATTGGTGAAAAAACTGAAGACAATTGTCCTAAGTCGCCTTTTCTTCTCCCAAGAATGAAGTTGCAGAATAATGAGAGATTTTGACATGTTTTCTCCATTAATTCTTAACTGACCCACTATAACGGCCACCAACCTGCTATAGCAGCTCCGCCACAAGGAGACCACCCGCTATAACGGAAATTAATTCCCCTGCTAGAGCGGCATGACATGCACCCACTATAGCGAATTGCACAGGAAAAAAACTCGACATTCTCCCCAAAAGCTCCATTTTCACAACACACCTTCGAACCTTGATGTTCTAAACTAACTCTTCCACACCAAGTTCGACATTAGAAGTTCTACTTACCAAATTTGATTATGAAAATGTTATAGATTCCTCAATGTTTTAGCTATTAGAAAAAACAAGTCAAGCTTGGACATTCTTCCTATTTCATTCCCAGATTTCCCTGAACTACACCTCGCTCAGATTTCGCCTGTGACTGGACTAGTTTAAAACTTTCAAGTCACGATTCAAAAAGTTTTCTTACCTAATTCTTTCACCATTTATCTATCCATAACGACTGGAAGGTGTCGTTACAACACTTAAAGGAAAAATTACCTTATTAGACATACTCCACTTTCATATATACGAATCCTACCTATAATTAAAACAATACATATATTACCACTAATTAAGAATTTTATACCGTCTATTGATAAAGATACACTCAAATACACATATCCTTAAACAATAGTCTAAATTAGTTATTTGCACAATTAAACCATCTCCAATTTATGCTCCCGTGTCAACCAACTCTCCCTCTCTCTCTCATCAACCTCTCATCCCACATCCTCCACCACCAATCTCTTTCTTCCTTTGTTCTCTCTGCCATGATTTTACCATTAAACCTCTAAAAACTAAATCTCGAACAGCTACATTAAAAGTTAAGATGTGTATCTATTTAACCATTATTCAAAGTCATACATGTGACATATTTCAATTTATTTTGTCTCGTAATTTTCAAAATTTAAGGTCAAAATCCAACGATCCTATCGGATCGACGAATGTTGTAGCAGCAACAAAAGTCACAAGCCTTTTAGATCCTTCAACGCATTGGGAGGATAACCCTTTGTTGATCGTTTTAGTTCTACTTCGAGGCTTATGATTACTTAAAAAATGGCATGAAAATTGGAGCACTGACTATTTTCTATAATGGACTGGTTGCAATTTTTTATGTCACTAACAACAAGGCAGCGGATATTCTAAAGTTAGCAGAAAGGTAACAAATTGTATATATTTTTCATCCTAAATATCTGACACAATATTGATGTATCTTATACATCATTGGGTTAAGATCATATGTATCTAATTTTTTATTAGTGTATGTGATTAAGGGTGTGTTTGGTATAAAAAAATTTTCCTAGAAAATATTTTGTTGGAAAACAAGTGGATTTCTAACTTATTTTCTCATATTTGGTTAATGAGTAAAAAATATTTTTTAATATTTGGTTGGTGAATGAAAAACATTTTCCATAAAATAGCTTTTATTTTTGGCATGAGACTAGAAAATACTCTTTAAAAAAATAATTTTTAACCCGAAAATCAACTATGATAATCGATCTAGGACCTGACCCTAACACCTGAACTAGGACACAACCCCGACAACCGTTCTAAAATCTGACCCAGCACCTAACCCAGATTTCGACCCTGAAGTATTTTTCAAATATATTTTTTTTTTAAAAAAGACTTGTATATGTCAATACATGCAACTAACATGTATCTACACATTATTTATTTATTATCAATGTATCTAATTATGTATACATAAATCTGACAAAATATACGCATGTATCTGAATAAGACTTCATGAATTTGATAAAGCGTACATGTTTATGAGTCAGGAAGTCTAAACTTGCTAAATCGCCAAAAAAAGAGAAGAATTTTGATTGTTTTAAAAAAAATTTAGGAGTTGTGATATGACATATCCTCTAAAGTTGTTACAACCATAATTTTCTCCTTAATTAATAACTTTCAGTTTTATCCCTTAATCAGACACACTCTTGAATTAATGGTTTCAATTATTGTTGCGAAATAGAGTTAGAATAGGAGTAGTATACCTTGTATCCTTACTCTAATCCTATTCTAACTCAAATGTGTCTCCTTAGATTTGTAGTTGTACTAGGACTCTACTTGTGGTTGTATGTAATTGTATAAGTAGCATACATATTGTACGCAATTATTATCAAGAAATAATATCCTCCCTTCTCTATAGTTATGTGTTTTCTACATGGTATCAAAGCATTAACACACACAAACCTACGTTGCATCAAACTTGTTCAAGAACCAATTACTTCCTCTTCACTGTAAGCCTCTTTATCCCTCTCAGCTTCTTCATTGCACCATCTTATGGTTGCGTGTCCTATCAAACTTAAACCTACCAATTACCCTTTATGGAGAACACATATTCTAAAACTGATGCAAGTAATGAAGAACACTAAGTTGGTCCAAGAAAAGAAACTTGATGAAGTTGAAAATCCAGCCAAAGATAACAATGGAAAGGTAGTTAATGGATAGTAGAAAGCTTTCGACACTAATTGGGATGAGCAAGATGTTCAGCTAAGAACCTGGATCTCAGGAACTATGACTGAAGAGAGCATGTATCTCATTGATGGCTACTCAAAAACCAAAGAGATGTGGGAGTGCTTAGAGGAAGCCTACCTTCAAGCAACAAAGGATAAAGAGTTCCAACTTAAGCTACAAATGCAGAATATTAAGTTAAGAAACCAGAAACTTGATGAGTACTTGAAAGAATTCAAAGGCATATGTGATGGACTTGCTGCCATACACAAGTCAGTTGATGAAGACAACAAAGTCATTAACTTTGCCCGAGGACTAGATCCAAAGTACAAGACATTTAAGACTATTATGTTGGGAAAGCCTCCATATCCTACCTTCAATTAATTTGTCAATGCTCATAGAGGTTTTAACATGAGAGAAGAAGAGGAAGAGGTGCCCCAACAAGATTATAATATGACCTTTACTTCACAGAGAGGTAGGGGTTGAGGGATTTACAATCACATGAGAGGTAACTCTAGT